ATTAAAAATCTTGAGGCTAGCTTCCTCCATGCCCAGAATGGGGACGAAAGTTTCGTCACCATCTTTCATAGCACAAACCGTAGCATTGGCCATTAGCAGGGGAACAGATTGAGTAGATGAAGCGGCAGCCAGTGTAGGAGAAAGAACTGAAGCAATAGTAGAGGTTGAAGCAGCGGAAGAAGCCATTGCAGCAAGAACCAGAAGAGGAAACTAGAAGAAAAACAAGAATAAGAGATGGAGCGAAGAAGGAAGAAAGCAAAGAGAAATCAAGGGTGTACAGTGAAAAAAGCGGTAAAAGAAATTTTACCCTAAAAAGACTTTTAAACAAGTGTAAACGGGCCGAGGCTAAGGCCCAAACAAGTCAGATCAACCATCAACATTTCAAATCACAATTCAAATCAACGGACAAGAGCATAGGAAAACGTGAGCAGGTGCCGTCAAATTTTATTAGGAGCAGTAAAATTTTAGATATAACGATAGCCACATTTAATGCATGTCTGATTAGGGTTCTATCGAATAGGTGACTCAAAAGTTAATCAGTGTTGATCGAAAAAATGAAAGTCATAGGAATTTAGTCTTTCATCGCCTCAACGCGTGCTTCAAAAACTAAATTCCTAGGGGGGGCATTTGTTAGGGTCACTCAAAAAAAATCTATATTTTGGAAGAAGTACTTATACCAAAAGGGGAATATCAGGAGCCATAAACATACATATTCGAGAACCGCTTGGAACGAGAATTGCTCGGAAAGAGTAGAGAAAGGAGGTTACTGGAGGTTTTCTCGAGCAGTTGAGTAGTTACATCAAGGTAGTTATTAAAGAGATAATCGAAGAAATAAAATACGTGGGATGAACGGTTACGAGAAGTTACACCTTAACCCACGTAAGTGATGTAGTGGACAGGGATTATGCGCCCACGATGGATTTACACAAAATTAATCGCTCTCGATTATGTCTATAAATAGAAGAAGCAACCTCATGTACAGGGGTCAGAAAAATCATACTTACACTCTCAAGCACTCACCGCTTGCGCATATGGCTTTCGTGCACGAAATTGCTGGGTATGGCGAATTCTTGACCACATTTTCTTTCTTTTTCTAGGATTAGTGTAGTTAGTTTCAATTCGTAGTTAGTGTAATTCTGATATTGTAATTTAATCATTATGCGAAGTGGACCATGATTTGTATTGCTAATATATGTATTGTTCATTCCATTCATTTAAGTATCTACATGTATGAACATTATTGCTTGATAATTATTGATGAAAATCTAGAAACAAGTAATTACTAGTCACTCTACTCTGTCTGTCCCTATTCTTTATTAAGTTTAAACGTAAAATACCTAAATTGAAACAAACTAGTGCTAATTCGAATAAAAAGAACCCATAAACGAATTTCACCACAAACAACTGGCAATCAATCATATATTTTAATAGTGTTATGTCAGTTGCTTATTTAATGAAATAATAATAAAATAAGTAACTTTAAAAGATATGATTGGTTGCCAGTGTAAAAAAACTTTAGACTGACAGTGTATAAATGATTAACTATATATATATATATATATATATGAGGGTTCAAACGACACCGGTGTAACTTTTACTAAGTTTTACACCGCTCAATAACTTTATATTAAATGTGAATTTTG